TATTTTGTTTACCACAATGAACATTTTTATTATTATTGTTTGTTAACAAAAATACAAACAAACTGAAGAAAATTGATGTCAAACAAATACGCATCCTCATTCATCCTGTTTTTTTTGTGAGAAATTATGTCTTTTAGTCTCAAAACTGTTTTGTGGTCTTTCTTTTTTGTATTGTGTCTGGCACATCTTGTTTCAATGACCAGCAGTAATCAGCTATCATGCTGATGTTCCACATTCCCTGATACCTCCTCTCCATTTCCCTGATGCCTTGATGAAACCTTTCTCCTTGTTCTTTGCTGACGGCACCAGGATTTTCAGGGAAATAGTCAATATGCGAGTGTAAGAAATGAACTTTTAAGTTCATATTAAAACCCAACTCTTTGAATTTATCTAGCATGTTATTGACAATATTTTCGTAATTTGGGTCTTTGTTTCCTAAAAATTTGGCAATAACATCTTTAAAGACAATCCATGCTTCTTTTTCAACTTTCCTCATCGTCCTAATCTGAGGCCCAACAAAAATTCCTTCTTTAAGTTTCACTTCTGAAAGAGCTGGGAATTGCCCACATAAATACTTGAAACAGTTGCCATCTTTATCTAAGGCCTTTACAAACTGCTTCATCAAGCCCAGTTTTATGTGACATATAGGACTTTCTTTGTGTCAACCTAACTTTCATGTTCAATGTTTCTTGATCCTGGTATCAGGCTGACTGTGCGTGGCTATTGCTTCTTTATCCAATGCTGATTTCGTGCCCTGCTGTCCCACTCACACAAAAAACATGGAAACTTTGTACAACTGGATTGTTGATCACAACTTATAAAGGACTTTTAAGCCTTCACAAAGTAGCCAACCATGTTCTTTGTATTTCTTCTTATTAAGAAGTTCTAGATTTTTGTACATTTCCTTCAAGTGATCTGAATGAGCAATAGGAACAGATGCATATATGTTACCATTGTAAAGGAGAACACTTTTTAGACTTCTTATCAATGAACAATCACCACTCACTTGGTTCATAGACTGCAGCTCCTAACATTAGTATTAATTCAGCAGTATTTTTGCAATAAACCAGTGAACCTTTTTGTGTAAAGTATCGTGTAAACTCTTTCTCATGATTTCTGTACCAGTAAAATGACTTTCGTGGAGAAAGTAAGTTCTTAGCCAAAAGTTTGGACCCAAAAATCTCTGAGAAATCTTTGGAATGCCCAATTCTCTAACCAAATCATCAAGTTCACCTTGTGTGAAAAGTTGGGATTCACCAGACATTTCAGGTTGAAAATCCCTATCATTATTTCTATTGACATCTGATTCAGAATTGGTTAAAATTGTATCAAGAGTCTCTGGTGGAGTAGGTACAGGTCCATGAGCAACAGGTCTTAGATCATATTGAAGGTTTGGATAAGAAATTTCCCTTTTATTTCGAGTGTTGTAGCCTTGCACTTTACATGAGCAAAAATAGCAGTTATCTCCCTGGTTTGTAGGCTTAAGCCAGACCATTGGAATTCCAAAAGGCAAAGACTTTCTTACCTTTAGTCCATTGTCTCAACTCTCCGACACAAATGGTGCAAACTTTGCATGGAGCCCATGATTTGTCTTGGTCCTCAAGTTTTATTCCAAAAAAATGTGTTATACACTTTGTCAAACTCTGTAATGTTTTGGTTTGTTTCTTTACACTAAATTTTCCATAATATTAACAGAATATTTTTAGGTCATTTACACAACCTCTTGTTGCAAAAGCAATGAATAAATAATATTAAAGGAAAAAATAGTGTCAAAGTGCATGCATGAACAAATACTATCCAGAAATGACACGTCATGTGGCCTGTTAACCATTTATGTACTAGCAGTGTGTTTCTCATGGGTTCTAAAACAATTGATAAGACTTTCATGTTGCAATTGATCAAGAGATATCTACAGCCAATGGTTGTTAACATTTTAAGAATAACAAAACATGACCCAATTTCAATGAAAATGATTCACTTGTGTAAAAGTACATATGACGTTTTGTGAAAAATTTGTACATGATGGGAAAAAAATGGATATTTTCAAAGTCAGTATATAGCAATTACTGTAGAATAGGTAAAAATTTCAAGACGATAAAAACTATCGCATACCTGTGTAACTTGGGGCAGTGTTCATAAGCTGTAGGAGCAAAAATATGATTTTTTTTTTTTTTCTAAAATCTTCTTAATGTTGAGAGTAAATATTACTTTCTGGAAGTTGTCTAAAATATCTGTTTAGATGCCTCTTCAGTGTGTAACCATTTTTTCTATGTATTTCAAAGTATTGTATGAAACTATGGCAATTGTTTAAGGACTTTATACATTAGTATCAGTTATGTTTAATAAAACAAATACCATCTTGTTTAAATTAGGGTCAGTCTTTCAGTAATACTGAGAGTTCAACAGATAGTCCACAAGTATCTCCACCAAGTACACCACCTCCTATAGATCTAACATCAGAAAGTATGGATATTCTGGAAAGTTGTGAAATTGAGGATGCATGTCAAGAAGAGGTGAGTGTGGTCTTCATTGTTGGTTATATTAATTTGGTGCAAATCTTGTCACTAGTTGTTTTACACATTCTGCTAGCTCAGTGAACACAGAAGAGGGATCAGTTACTACCAAGTTTCAAACAAAATTATTTCTGTTTTCTCATTTTTGTATCAAAATTTTAATTGTTAAAGCTTCCATTGGAATTAGCTGATATTTTCTAAAAAGAATTTACACAATGAATCAAAAACATAAAATTTAAGAAAGCTTTATGTAAAGTATTTGAAACTGCTTCATAAATATTTGAGGAAATAAAAGTGTGAATGTTATGTAGTACAAATGTTCACTTCATTAGAATAAAGGAACTTACTATTTTTGGTGAAAATGAATTATCACTAACTCTAGGCAAACAGGACATATTAGTATATCTATACAATCCATAAAAATATAATCTAAAACTTAATCTGCAAAATCCAAAACATTTAGAAGAAAAGGAACATGTTGCTTGAATATGTAGAAAGACTGACATATTTGAGGTAGTAAACAAGTCATCTGACAATAGTACTATTTTTATTGACAAATATATATTTACTAAGATACTCTTGATGACGGTACAAGTCAAAATATTGGACAGTAGAAAACATATTTTCTGCAATTAATGGTCATTTAGTTTTAATAAAATTAAAATGGTCCTAAAACTCCTGTATTTGTATTTCTTAGAAACTAAAATATCATTTATAATATGATAAATTTCAGATAATCAGCATAGCAGGATAATAGTTTTGAATATGTTTTCGATTTTAAACCATGTGAAAATGTACAGCATGATAAAGTTTTCTTTTTATAGACTGCTGTATCCTGTCAAAAACCTGTTTTTAACATTTTCATAATATTTTGTCAATGATCCATCCTTGTGCTTTGTGTAAACCATGCTTTATGGCTTTTAGGAATGTGTTTGTAGAGTTCTACCTTGTGATACACCTGAAAATTGCCTCACAACTTCAGCTGTTATGCAAGAAGTAAAGTCTAACTTGCTTAACCGTCTGGATGGCATATTACTGCCAGCTTTACCTCTGGAACTAAAGCCTGTGAATACTTTAACCTCACCTAGTCAGCAGGTATTTCATGGTACAACTAACAGTAGCCTTTGCATTTTAATAGCTTGAAGGTTTTGATTTAATAAATCTTTAATATATTAATGCTTATTGTTGCTGTGAGTGTTGAGCTCTGTATTATTTGGTAGTTTCATCTTTGTTTCAAGTTTTATTTAGAATTATTGTGCTTCAGTTTTGAAGATCAGTATTACTACAGAAACATTTTATCCTTCATCTTATTTGTATGTTCAAGTTAATTAGGTGTAATACATCTGGTCAGCTGCATGTCATTGGAAATAAGTGTAATGAAGGAGTTGATTTCATTGTTGGAGAGGTGATTTTTTTGATGTAGAGAATATCTAGAAGGGGGGCAAGACTAAGTTTTTTTAAGATAGGTAGAGGTTTGGAATCTGTAAAATCAGATGAGGTTTCCAGATATGAAAGCCCAGAGTAACTCCACTTAAGACAGTGCTACTCTTCTGAGAGGATTACTGGCCTTTGGAATAGTTTGTCCACAGGTGTGATATATAGCTTAGAATAGGATGGTAATAAAAAAAAATATAGTATTCTAGATGGGTCAGATAGGTCCATTTTATTCCCAAAATCTTAATTTAGTCAGTATTTTTTGTTTAACTCTCTCGTTATGGGCTTGGTCGATTCAAACTAAAAATTAACTCTAAATTGACCGTTAGAGTTTCCACACTATATCTTCTAATATGTTTTGGGTAACTTGACAAAATTTTGAAAGCTTTCAATAAACGTTTTGAGTCATTTGTAGACAAAAAAAAAAATCAGAATTTTTAATGAAGTATTTCCACTAAAAATTTCCTTAGGAATATATGGAATAAAAGTGTTGACTTTTCAGGTTAATATTAAAAATACTTTTCTTCATCTGAAAATTCTCCAATTTAATTTGTGTAATCTATAAAACCTCCTAAATAAATGTCAAACGTTTTTTTTATTTCAGTAAAACTTTATATTTTATCTGTTATTTTCTCTACCCTAACTGTAATGTGGTTGGTCAGTTTGACTGACCTTGTAACAACAAGAACAAAGTAAATCTAAATTACCCCCCTTTTTTTAGTCGTGGGAGG